GTTTCGCGCCGTCAAAAACTGTGCTTACGGAAGCTATTTATTTCCATCATCCCAGCTTCTTCAAGGAATATTACTACAATCCTGCAGGCAAACAGAGTGCAAAAGAAAATGAGTGAACGCAACAACGCGATCGCGCTTACCAAACGAGTATGAGAACTAAAATGAGCCTTTACATAATTGATATTGCCCTCTTTTTGTTCCATTTTTTTCTGTTCAGGTCCAGAGGTATCACTCACTGTGACAGTCACAACTGATTGCTCCGGCAGCAAGTTGGCCAGCTTAAACCAAACCATGACAAATGGCGTAAGTAGGGAGCTTGGTTACTTTCATTTCAAAGGATTTATCATCATCTCCTGGCTGCTCTTATCCGAAACGACATATAAATATGCTTCACTGTGCTTTTTGTCAAACAATAAGAAATATACTTGAATTCTAGATGAAGGTAGAAAAAGTGTAAACTGAGCAAAAAGGAATTGAAGAAAAATAGCTTCGCTTCAAAATCGACTATTATCAAATTAATTTGGACATTCTTAACCTGTGGCTGTTATGAATTGAATAACTGGTAAAAAGATCATTTCTAACTGTAACTAAATTTTTGTCAAATTGAGGAACATTCTTAATCAATCTGGGCTTGAAGAAGTTTAGCTCTGTATTGGAGTAGGTGTTTCATTGCAACCTCTCAGTCACATACATGACTTTAACCAGTCATGACTCCTTTTCTCGGGTCCTCCTACACACGAGGCGTTTCTGTTCTAATTCTCCAGATCTGCCGTTACGATAAATATTTTAAGACTTTTTGTCGCCAAATGCAGAGGTGATTTACCTATCATTAGCTGTTAAAAGACATGAGATAGGTGGCTCAACCATGACAACCGTAACATAAGTTGGTCGTCAATTGCCTACATGAATAACAAGGAAAGTGAATCACTATGTATATGCGAAAATTTCCCATGAAGCCGTAGGGTCTCATCGTTCCTAGATCATACTTTTTAGGTGTGAACGTTTGCAATCGAGTGTATGTAATTTTTTTAATGTATTACCTTTTGTGAATTCGCTTATTTACTATATCTTTTAATGTAGAACAAAACACAGGATGGTTTGATTAATTTTATTATCACCGAATGCAAAGGAAATACACGAAACCTTAAGTTCTTGTTCATAATCACTCACATGTTTTTAATAATCCACAGATTCTCATTATTTATAAGGGCACACCATATCGACTCAAAGGAGTGAAAGCTACGAGTGTTACCTGCATTTCTCAGTTTAAAGGGATATATACTCTGCTATTTTACCGAGTAGGATCAGGCTCTGGATCAACGATCGAAGGAGTATTTAAGGGTCGACTTCAACAAGGCAATTTTGGCAATTCTATAACAGCAAGTAACACGGTATACACTTTCGAGTTTCAAGGTACGTCTTTCCATGGTTCAATTTCAAGATGTCTGAGTCACGGTTCCAGTAATACACAAAGTCGAGGCTAACAAATAAATTAAACTTCTCAGGAGAAACATTGACGCCTTAAGCTCGCTACTTTCAATTCACGTTCTTACTGTGTTCGGTGGTACAGCAAATAAACTTTTTTAGCGGAAGCTCACGAAGAAGAACCAAACAAGTGGCACCACCAAAAGAAATCCTCTTTTTATTTCACGGGTAAATTTTACTTATTTCGTTGGTTGAAATTTATATAGAAATGAATATTGGAGTGCAATAGAGGTCGTGAAGAAGCTTTCCTTCTTCCAGACCGTATAATCTGTTGTAGCAACCAAGATACGTGTATCAGTTTTAAGCCTCAGAGATCTGTAGAGTGAGACAATACCTGTTTCAAAGATGCAGGTGGTGCTAAAGAAGTCTATCCTTCCCGGGAAAAAATTTTAAAAAAAAATCGTAAGGCTGGGCTCCCGTTGAGAATACTTAGGAAGGTCCTTAGAAACCGATCTGTATAAAAATCAAGAGGTTATTTTCACTTACTTATCTAATTGTTTAATGTCAATCTTAGGGTAAGCGATTTATGACTTCTTTGAAAGCTTTTTTGGCGTTTCTAGGCTCTCTTTAAGTAGAGACTTGATTGATGGTTAGTAGTCAGTTGAAACGACATTGGTTGAGCCTCACGTAGCCGTTTTCCCCTCGCCCTCCTTTTTCCCTGTTCCTATTGATGGAAAACCTAATAAATATACAAGTTAAGGTATACTTACCTTTTGATTATGTGTAGGAGTTGATATAAAAAGAACGCCCAAATCTGGAGAGTGCGAAAGAGTCTGCTGTAATGGAGCAGGCGGGGAAATGCTTATAAAGATAACATGCGCTCCTGTAGACAGTTGTGCCGGTCTTGACTTTTCAGAGAGGAAAGAAAACGGATATTGTCCAGGGGAATCTAAAGCTTCTTGCAAATGCAGCAAAGGTAAGGTTTGAAATTACATATTTAACAAATAGATTTCTTGTTGCCGTGTTTTTGTTCTGTAAGAGATCATAGATGAGGTCAAAATGTGGTAAGGACCAAAACAAGGCACACGAGTGTGTCACAGATGTTTTTACCACGTGGTAGCTTCTTCTGTGATATTTAACTGTACGGAAGCACAGCAACATTAGATTTATTTGTTATATATGATAAAAAAAGGAAAATGTTGTTAATGGCGACGTCATCTGTTCGTCTGTTCTCCAATGTAACATAAGTAAGGACCAATCACTGTGCTTGTGTAATTCAGCTTATCATACAACTAAGCAGTGGAACACATTGCTTTGGGCTCTACTAAAAAAAATTCGCTCTATTGCTTTTATGACACAACTAGCTCTACGTGGGCTCCAGAATCTGATAAAGCATTCGCTTGGACACTGAATTTACCGATCAGATGATGCGCTCTATCTACGTTATGTTATAACATACTAATAGGGAGAGATTATTCACAACCGAGGAAGATGGAAACGCAAGAGAGACTAGGGGAGCTAGTATTCTCATGCATTTCCTCAGTTCCCCTCGATTGGCTGACTCAGTGAGTGACAAGATAGATCTTCGTGAAAATGATTCGTTTTCTTAAAGAATAGGGGCAGTGTATGGCGTTCAAATTTAAATTTTAGCCATTAACCAATGTGAACTCGCTTTATTTCTGCGCATATGGAGTTCAATCGAACAACATAACTCATGATAACTAAATACGTTTAATTTTATACACAGAACGGACACCTTTGCATTTATTCACCATCCTTTACATCGTCATAAATGTAGGATCTCTGAGAAATGCGATTGAATTTGTGACTATGAGCTAATGGATTTTCACCTTTGTATCAAGGTTTACAGGACTTGCCAAGTGTCGCTTTAATTACTGTATTGGGACTCGCATCATTGATGAAGTAAGTAGCAGTAATAAAATAAATGATTGAGAACATGTCTCTGAGAGGAAAGTTTCCAATGATCACAGGTATCGACAGAAAGCAACGGTATTGTTTTCGAGGTTGTCAAACGTATAATACGTTGCCGAAATCACAAAAAAGAAAGATGCGTTTACAATCCACCATACTTTTACATGGTTACTCGAAATTGTTCATTAAAAATAAGCTATCTTCTCTTGTTTTCCTCAGGTCCATATTCTCACTGTAACTACGAATGCTCAAGTATGCGCCCGACTTCAGTTCGGAAACATGACTTTATGAGCTTATGGCAACAGACGCCTCGTGACGGAGACAAAGTCTCAAATAAACAATAGACCTATTCAAGTTTTAAAGATATGAAGCTGAATCATACAACGACAATAAGAAACAATGTTTAGTATTTTCCTTAGATGTGTGTAGTTGTAAACCCGACTAAATTATCGAGGATGATTTTTTAGTTCCTTTTTTCTATCATTTTCATTCCTAATTGACATATCTAACGTAGAGAAAGAAAACGCTCTCGAGCCAGGATTTTAATACATAAACGTGAAAGAGAACCAGCCAAGACGATGGACTCCTAGCGACTCACATGTCCCTAATGCGGGTCGTGGGCCACGTCAAAATGGTCTAATTTTCCTCCGTGCAATCGAGAATTTTACCCCGCCATCTTGGGTGAGAGTGATTAGTTTCAAAGATTTGCTCATCCATAGGCCACAAAGAGTGCTTATCAAATCCACTAGACTTTCTTGTCTCTGCTGCGTGAGTCATCAACAATCAACTTTTTCCTCAATTTTTTTTCGATGAAGGCGGTTTGTTAAAGTTTGGGTGTAAATATTATAAGTGACTAGCCAATTACATGTGTTAGTTAGAATTCGGTCAAGAGGTCAAGCGTAAAGGCTCAAAGCGAAGAGCCATAGCATTTTCATACAAAGCAAGAAAGCACAAGGAGTTTTCTGTATCCATTCGATGCTTAGTCCCTTCGCCACTATTCAAAATCTTATTTAAGATTTTTTTTGAACAGAGGCATGCGTTAGTTTTAGTCGCAAAGCTTTTTTGGTATCATTCATTACTAAAGTTTATAATTCATCCAACTATTATTATTACATTCAGTAACACGTCCATTCTTTTGCGATTAATATCAGAGAAATCTTACTAATTTTATCCTTTATTAGTTGTGTATCATTTGACTTTATGATTACCGAGTGGCCAGTTTTTTTTTTCTTAGAAGTGTGTACACTGTAGTATGTTTTGGGAATAAATCTCAGTTTAGAAACCCGTCTTCTGAGATTTTGTTACTCACAACTGAAGGGGGAAGTTTTTTTTATGCATATGAGACACGTCGCCAAAATTAAAGAGGCTTTTCCTATGGGGAGGAGACCCCTAAAAAGACCTGTTAGAAAATTTTGTCGACAGAATTGAATTGGAGTTGACACCCTTGATTGATATTTCAAGGACTTAGCCCACTCGGCCCTACTCCCGTGAGGCGAAAAGAGTACTTTTTCTTGGGGGAGAAGACCCTATAGAAGACCTTTGAAGATAAAATTAATGACATGAGGGGATATACTTTTCGTCCTTCACTGACATTTTAAGGTCTCCGGCCCCCTTCCCACTATTTTAATTTATGAGATATTTCTGCGCAACTACCTATACGTCTAATGAGAATATATAATTTATGCTGATACGAAGTCTTTTTTACTTTGAAATGTGGCCAATCTGTGAAAGCAACTCGTCAGAGGATGTAGGATTGCTCAAAATCTCATTAAAGAAGGTACAGCACTCGGATACACGATATGTCTGTTTTATGTTATTTGATGAAATAGCAGCCTCTTAATAGCTTAGAGTGCGTTTGTTGGCGTTGCTATGGTAATTGTGACATAAAGGAGCGAGTGAACCACCTTTTCCTTTCACTTTGCATTTAAGCGTGCGTGATTAGAACTATATATCTGCCTGTTCAAAGATCATTGGAATATTTCCGCATTTTTGTCTCCATATTTACTGGTTTTACTGATTTGGTTTTCTTCAGTCATCTTCTCATTAAAAGGTTTCATTGATATGGACACTACTGATCTTTCATGGCTGTCTTTCCGTTCATGGTAAGAGTTCACTGTACTTCATCGTCTGCTTACAATAGTGAATTTAACCTTTAATTCGCCGCCTAAAGCGAAAACGATACAATGGAAAATGACCTGCACTGACGAATCCGTGCCACAAAGATGGGCGCCCTCCAACCTACACAAAACACAAAACATAAAAAGCCCGAGAAGACACGCCACACGACACACAACTAAACGTAGGCCTAGAATTATTTACTAAGTAAGAAAATATGGTAATTAACAGTTACAAACAACAACCAAAAAAACAATAAACTAAATTATTTACACTAATCACAATAATACGATAACACTAAATTGCCTGAATTATTTACCTAAATTACTTTACAAGAGTTTACAAGAATGTATTAATTTAAAACTAGAATGCGCAAACTATATTTACAAGAGTATTATTAAGCTAAAAAGGTAGGTTTTTTTTTTTTTTCAGTTCAGTTCGGTTTGGTTTCACTTTACGCCCGCGTCCGTGTTCTTGTCTTGTCCACAACTCACCACGCTCCACCAGCAAACGGTGCCCTGCCAAACCAAACTCCCGTTTCTCCAACCAGGTTCCCGTCTCTCCAGTTTTCAACTTTGCTCGTTTCCTTCGTTTCAACTTTGCTTCGTCTTCTGGAAACTTTGCAGTTTTCAAATTTTTATTTCTCGTAACTTGACTCACCAAACTTCTCGTAACTTGACTCGCTCAGACTTCTTGAGGAATCAGTTACTTTCTCTTCTTCCTTTGGCTCACAGTCTGGTTCTTTACACACTCGTTCCCCGGCAAATGGTTTTCTACCGTAGAGTAGAACGATTTTTCTGAATGAATTTGTCAGAAATGATATTGTGCCGAGTCTCCGTTCCCTCAAATTTTTCCACGCTCTTCGCTCGTCCACTCACAAACCTTCACGTCACTTCTTCCCAACCGTGCCCAAATCCTTCATTATATATACGGACGCAAGGTGCGAGAAAAGGGGGAAGAAAACAATTGAATATATAGAATAAAGGTTAATTACACAAGTAAAGAAAGCGAATTACATAATAGATACAAATACCACACACTAGACATATCCTTGTGCGGGAGGTCGAGGGTTCGAGCCCCGGCCGGACCAACACTCACGGTCTTAAACTAATTGAGAAGAATATGCTACCTTTCTATAACATCGATTAAGAAATGGTTAGATATTCTAGTCTTCTCGGATAGGGACGAATAAATGGAGATCCCGTCTCCTTCATCTATTAATTAGCTAATTTGGTTAGGCAGGGGACGTTAAAGAACCCACTTCACGAAATTACAGTGATGTGGTCTGGCCTGGTTACTGGGAATTGGGGGGAGGGAGCATCTGTCATATTCGCCTTTATTTGATTGTAAACTGCTTAGCAGTCTGGTAAAATCCCCCGTACAGTGTTGTAAAGCGACATGAGCTTAAGATATGAGCGCTATATAAATACAAGTTATTGTTATTGTTATTAAAAAAAATGCACTACATAATCCTAAGTTAATTCTTTTGAATGTTTTCATGACACCTGCTCGCGATCGAAGAGTAAGATGCAATGAAGCTGAGACTGCATCTGAATAATATTATATCCCCAGCTGTGTGTAGCGCTATACACAGTACGTATCTTTCAGGCACGTTTTTACGATGTTTCTTTTCCTTTGCTTTAAGTTGTGGCAAAAGGTCGTCCCTTACCTCCTGAAGCAGTTGTGACTTAGTACATCTTTGGAGGTACCGGTATAGAGGACTTGATTTGCATTCAGCAGCCATGGTGCTATTCTAGAAAGGCTTGCAAGTTCCTTGCTGCTTCATACCTTACGAGTATTTCTTATTTTGTTAGTTATGACAGTCATGATACCTCTGGGTCTTTTAAGAGTTCGAAACCGGGTTTCTTGATCTTATCATCCAATGCAAGTGAGTCAAAACTAACCCTCCATGGGTTTCCCAAATTTTAGCGGAATAACTCGGTTCAACCCGCCATAAAAAAAGCTTGCTTTCGCATTATTGTTATTGCATTGCTACTGAAGAGGAGAATTAAAGCTTTGACCAGATTAAGACTGTAGACTGATGCTACAAATAGCAAATAAACATCGAAAGTCGGAACCTAGGATGCCCGCTCTTTTTCTTCCAAAATTAGGTGTTTATTTTGAAATAACCATCATGATGAAAACAAAATACTTTGAATTGTGACCAATTTTAATACGCTTATCTTCATCAGATATAGGTATTCCATTAAAAGAAGTAACATTTCAGAAAAAAATAAAGCTATGATTACCGAAAAGAAAATAATCGGGATCTATTACCAAAGATTATTCGATAATCAATCATTGATCGGTATACTAACTTGGTATCAAATTGGCGTGTGTCCAATATCGCCTCTTGAGCAGCACTCCACCGACCCTTTTCATTGTGGTCCTAATATAATTTTGTTATATGTTTAAATGGAGAATGTGATCACAAAGAAAGAAATTGAGAAAAAAGTAAGCGGAAGGTTGAAGATCAGAGAATGGAGAAGGGGAAAATGCTTAAAACACTCTGTCAAAATGTGTTCTGGCTCGCCAGGTCATCTTATCTAACTTAAAAGGTCATCGCGTGTATAATAGCTGAACTGACAAACCTTACCAATGCCATTACTCTCGTTAGTCTTGAGAAAGACGTTGAAGATCTCCGTTTTCCGGTTTTAACAGTTAGATAAGAGCTAAGAATAGTAAATGCACTCAGCAAACGCAACCTTAACCAAAAAACAAGGAACAAATTGAAAAACAAAGAGAAGGCACCCCTATAATGATTATTTTATAATCGTTATTTCCTCGGCAAGGTTTAATAATAACATTTAGTTATAAACGGGTATGCCTTTTTAAAAAAAAAAATTAGTAATTTAGCATTAAATAAGCCCAGATCCATTCAGCGGCAAATTTCATTGTGTGGACAAGAACAAAAGCCTTTGTCGAGATAGGGAAAACGTCTGCGTAAACAATTATGACAAATATTGACATATTTCTGCACTGGATGAACAAAATTGATATTGTTTAATTACTGAGTAATTAAAACCTTATTAATGCAAATTTTCAAAAGACAGGTGATTTGCACTTAGCGTTTAATAGATTTGGCGCCAGAGCGTTGTCCCAGGGAGTCTGGGGACCAAACCCTCTTTTTATTTAAAGACGCGACGAATCCAATATTGAAAATAACGGTCAGCCAGAGATAACGTAAAGATCTATAAGATGTATGGAATGCCCTACGAATTGTAAGTTACATTTCATTGAACTCTCAAATGTTATTCTATATTTAAAAAAATCTGTATTTGATTTTTAGTTTGACTTACTTCCTCTGGCAACTAATACGAAAATTAACGGTTCACCATACATCTGTAACATTCAAAGCTACAGTAACGCTTCAAAACGAAAGCGCGAATCAACAGGCAAGGTAGCTTAAGATGTTTGATGGTTTGTTTGACCTCCGAACTAAACCAGCAACCTCATGGCTACCTAAGTTACTAACAACCATCTGAAAAGCTTTTTTCTTTTTCTGATCTCTGAGCGTAATACCATGCTACATGCCCTAGTCTTAGAACTATGTTTGTAATCAAAATTGTTATCATCAAGGGGTGGAGCAAATTTTTTGAGAACCATTAATCTCAAATATGCCTGCATATCCATTAACTTCAACGAATGCTAAATGTTCGTAAGAAAACCAAACAAAAGAGAAAAGAGACAAGTATCAATTGTCTTTGTCTTTAAATGCAAGTTAGGTTTAATTGATCTGAAAAGAAACAACCTATGAGTTTTGTAGTGGGCGCTCGCGCCGTGGCGCCTACTGTCTTTTTCTAAAAAGTATGAAAGCTTAAACCTCACCCTATAGAGAACGCCTTACCAGATAACATAATAGCTGAAAAGGAACTCCCGTCTTTCGTGAAAAAACAAAAATCTTTCCTTTACCTAAGACGTAGTAAAGTTTCCAATCAAGACGACATTCGCTCTTTTAAAATAGTTTGCGTAAAATGTCGTCGTTTCAATGCTCTTAATTCTTATACATGTTAATCTACTAGTTTTTTTCTTCTTTTTTTTTCTTTCTTTTTCTCTGATTATACATTTTGTTTCTTAGCATGGGGGCTTGTAACTGGGTTGGGTTTCAATTTGACTATCTGTAGGGATTAAGGAAAGGTA